GTCCCGAGCCGATCCGAAAGAGCCCCCGAGAATATATCATTCCCATCGCCGTGGAAGGCGGTGGATACGTGACCCCCAGATCCGGTAGCGTGGAGCCCGAGAGCAAAACCGGTGGCACACCGTCTAGCGCCAACGTGCCCCGCTCCAGATTCGGTAGACCCAGAAGGATGAGCTCCCTGTTGTCGGATGCCAGCGAGGATGAATCGCCGTTCTCTTCGTTGCACAGGTAGGGCTTTCCCTTCGCTTTGACTCGTGCTGCTTTCGACGCGCGTTCGAGCGTGTCCGATCGATAGCGAGGACTCTCGACGATATATCGCGTTTTCGACGCTCGCAGGGACAGCGAGGATCTGTTGCAACGACACATGCATCGATTGAGAAGCTCCCGGCCATCGAGACAGCCACCGGAACACGTGGACAGCTTGTCCTCCGGCGAGGACGACGACGACGATGGATTCGAACTGTTAACCGCCGAGAATCTATTCTCCACTCTGCTGTCCAGAGTGCGAAGCTTGACACAGAGATTGAACGTGGACGACAATCGTACCACCGGCTTCCCAAGTTCCCGCCTGTTCGGAAGATTAGGATCCAATTCCTCGCAAGCGTTGTGGGGTCTAAACAAACCACTGTCGAGGTAATTCATCCGATGCCGTTTAGCCATTCCTTACCATCTGTCTTTCTCTCTTTCTCGCGCGAGATTGCTGAAACGAATCGAGGATACCTAATGACAACGCTTTGACCGGTTTGACGCTTGTTTGTGCAAGCTACCAGACGTATGTCGAAACGAGGACCGTGACTACGTGAGTCCAATTGTTACAACAACTTTAGAACAATGTAGTCTATGCCGATTATTTTAGAAGGTAGCGCAAAATATATCACGAGTATTCTATCTTGAACGTATCGGCTCGCTGTAATAGCAACGGCCGTTCTCCTCGCCGTTCGAAACGCGCGCGCAACGTTACTCCGAACGACTTTTGCCTCTCACGCTTCTTATACGCTGTACCGTTTATATATACCGCGCTCGTCGTCGATACGAAAGATCGGCCGTTGAAGCTGCACTTTCGAAACGCCGACTTTTCGGTTTCGTTGGATCTCGACGGTTTCCAACAGCCAGCCAACGAATGATCGCGTTTCGTTACGTCGACGAGATCGGAAGAATAGCTTCGACCAACGACCGATGGAACGGGCGTGAAAGCAAACGTTCGCAATCCATAGGAAATCACGCAAACGTTTTATCTGTTTGGCACCTAGGCGGTTGTCGGAGTCGCAGTTCAGGCATTCGCTCGGTCGAGAGGGTGACATACTCTCGAGGAAAGATTGCGCGAACACGTCGAACCCAGGAACTCCGAGCAGTCCAGGATCGCACGGTAATCCTTCGAGGGAAACGGTATTCGACGTCGGCAGTAACACTTTACCAAGAGGTAAGAGAACCTGCAGCGATTATTCTACGATCGTTCTACGAACTTTACCGTAGAAAAACAATCGTATCGTGCTGCGAAATGAATCGTTCGTATCCAACGAGGGTGAACCCTCTGCGTTCCACGTTCCGCTTGCTGCTCGTCGTCGAGTTTCGACGGAAGCAACGATCGTCGAACGGATCGTCGAATGGATCGCCGGATCGCAAACGGTTCACGCGGCTCGAGATTCGACCCAGTGTCAAAATTTTCTCGTAACTTTGCGTCGATCGGGCCAACGATCGATGACGGGTAATCTCTCGCGTTGCGTCCGATGGAAGCGAGGAAGCGACGTTGCAACGTGAATCGTCGGTTCGCGAGAAACGAGCTTCCGCCTAGTTCCGCGATCCTGTCTAATAAGATGTATTTAACGAGGATATATTTTGTCACTGGTTGAAATCACGAGCCGTACGAGAAAATGCCGAATGCGTTTACTCGGTATGCATTTTCTGGTACCACCTATAGCTGTTGTCGAGTCGTTGATAGACAGAGCGTATCTTTTTCTTTATTTTTGCCGATCACCCCCGCCCTCCCCCTGCTCCCATCCCCTTCGCCGATCCTCTTTCTCTCTACAACCCACTTTCTCCGTCGATCGTCCATCTCTCCTCCCCTTGCCGTTTCTTTTTCATTTTCTTTTCTCTTTTCGTCTCTCTTGCTCCGCCGAGTATCTCTTTTCCGTTGTTCTTGCCTGACGATGTTTTTTTGCAACATTTGATACTAACCTCGTTTAGAAATATATAAAGATACATGGTTCGTGTTTGGCACAGGTGGGTAAACGTTTCAGTGATTTGCGACGCGTATAGCGAAATCGAGCCGAGACGGCTCGGCCGATCGAAACGTAACCGGTACTCGGGCGTCTCCTTTTGAATTTTGCACGAGAGAGCACCGGCTTTTTTTCGGTGGCGGCTCACGCCGGCTTCTTCGTTGCGCAAAGTACAAGCGCGCGAACGAGATACAGTTTTCTAAGCGCATGTCTGCACCGTGTTCTTTGCGAACGGTACCTGCCTGTTGTTCCGTTTTTCTGTCCTCTTCTTCTTCTTCTTCTTCTTCTTCTTTTTCTCACACTCTTTTTCTTCATTTTTTCCGCGCGATAGGTACGCGCTACGCGATCAACCATCGAACGATTAATTTGCGCTCGCGTTCGAACGAGTTTGAGCATTAAAATTACTCACAGACGTGACTCGCCGTACTTTGCCTAACATATAGAAGCCCGTAATACACACGCAGTAGTAGCGAGTTGCAATGTTGTTGATTTACGTACTATCCCATTAACACGAGCAGCCGCAATTCACTCTTCTTCTTTAATTTATTCAGTGTCACGCTAAAGTTTACTTTTTTATAAAGCATGATTGCACACGTTATCCATATATACACGAATACACGAGGAAATTCAGTTCTGTTACTCTCCAAGATAAAATCCATCTTTGATGAAAATTTACGCATCTACTTCGCATCTTCAGTCTATCGTCGACTCTTCAATCAGCGATCGGAGGAGATATTCCAGAGTTGATATTTTCGGTATACGCGCACCGTCCACCACGATTGCTTCGTTTTCGATCGACGAAAGCTCGCGATCCGTAACGCGCGAATCGGCCGCGCGTTCTTTCGCTTTCTTCTTCCACGTACCACGTTCGTAATCGCCATACGTTCCGTAACGTCACGGTCGTTGAATCGAAAAAGAAAGTCGAAGAAAAGCAAAGTTGGCCGTAAAACGAAAACGGCGAGGATGCCAGAACCGACGAGATCGCTCGAGCAACCGATCTTTCCAAACCATTGCCAACGAGAGTTCGTTCCGCGCGAAGCGACGTCGGCCGGAAGCTGAAACTCCTTCTCGTTTATACGGGCGGTGGTTGGATCGCGCGGTTCGACGAAGCGACGAGTTTCGCAAGACGGAAGCCCGACCTAACGGCTTAACGCCTAATTGTGCATTTTCCACGCGACCGGCGTAATTCTCGCGCGATTAAACGGCAAAGATGGTGGAAAGGTGGCATCGTTCTTTCGTCGATCGGGCAACGAACGAACCGTGCCGATGGTGCGACCGATTATCGAAAATATACACTGGAAAATCACGGTAGAATCGTTTTGTCTAAATAGGTGTAATTGACGGTTTTTTTCTCACGGTTGTTGCAGCGACCGTGCGAGTGACTCTACGTAGGCGGGCGGATGCTAATCCCCAGTAGGCAAAGCAAGTTAGGTACTATGCCAGCACACTTTTATCCGACGAACGTCACCTCGTCGCTCTGTTGCCGCACGATCGATCGCGCGGATGTTCGCGATCGTTCGAGCGACGTGCGGCCGACGTGCGGCCGACGTTCCGATGTTCGCGCGACACTCGGCCAAACTCTGCACACCTACCGAACATCGAAGTTGTGATATCACGCCGGTCACCGCCGCGCGCTCCACTCGTCGTAGCTCGACCGCGGTCGCGTTCGTCTCGCGCGCCGCCTGACAAACGAAAGCCGACCCGCGGAGAAGCAAGATCTCGCGTCGATCGAGCACGCACGCTGCCGAACGAGAAGACGCGCAAGCGATCCCGTGCGGATTTCCGCCAGATCGCCGGACGGACGATTCGATCCATCGACCGGGTCATCGCGCTTTTTCAAGAAACGCGCCATCGTCTCGCTGTCACGATGCGCGAACACCGGCGCGATGGATCGATCGATCCCCGAGACCACGTATCCGCTGTGTACCGTGGAAAACTTACGCTACTAAGAGGAAAGATACTTGGAAAAATTGTACACCGCGAGGCGAAAGGAGCTAACCCCTGTTTGAGATGGCTGATATTTGTTGTGTTTTTAAGAGTTTAAATAACAACGTTTTATTACTTTTACATTGTTCTCAGCATGCTTTGATAACGCTATCGTATCGTATTTAATACCGTACACTCTGCATTACCCTCGACTTGAGTTTACACATTTCACGCGTTCTCATTTTCGTCACTCGACACGACATACGTATTTATTTCGATGTTACTCGATGGTTGATCTTGCGAATCCCGCGCGAGTCGCTTTAACGTTCGAGTCGAGTTCAACGCCGGTCGCGCCAACCGGTCAACGGATTCCAATGGATTCGCGATGGATTCGCAGAGTCAACCATCGCGCTCTCCAAATACCGTTCTGATTTCTTCGAACCCACTAAAATCCTACAACCTAGTGTCCGTACGCACATAGAAAGCTTCGTATGCCGCGTGTCGTCGTTCGGCGAGTATACGAGTTTACTCTTGACAATTTCTCGTGTCGATATACTTGGAGACGTATGTCACGTACGTACCTATGTACGTATGCATATATGTATGTATGTATGTATGTATGTATTTATGTATCTATATATATATATAGATATATATACACATCGGCGTGTGCATGGCGCGTGTATACGTGTGAACGTGCGCGTGTGCGTGTGGTACGTGCCCGTACATCCTCGTCGATGTACATTTTGGAAAGGGGGATGGTATCGTTACACCGGTACCGATTACACTGTACAAACCCCGAAAGTGCCAGACATCGAACTATCGACGCCTTTGCCCGTTTAGCGGCGCGTTCGGTATCAGTCCGTCCCCTCGATTCGTTCGTTTCGTCCGTACGTTTCGTATCGTTTTCCAGGTCCTTTCGCCTCCTTTCTTCCCATCTTCTCTCTGTTCTTCTTCTTTATTTCCGTTTAAATTTCCGGACACCTTCCACGTAACGTTGGATCGAAACAACCGGATCGAAGAACCGGGTTGTTCGTTTCTTTTTCTTCCTCTTCTTTTTTTCTTCTTTTCCTCTCCTTTCTCTCTCTCTCTCTCTCTCTCTCTCTCTCTCTCTCTCTCTCTCTCTCTCTCTCTCTCTCTCTCTCTCTCTCTCTCTATCTCTATCGCGTTACGATACGCTGCGCGCGGGCAAACTCGTTCATCGTTCGGTTCAGTGGCCTTAGAGCCGTTTCTCTCTCGCTATCTTTCTTCCTTTCATCGGTTAACATTTATTTATTAATTTTTCGAGAAATTTTATAAGAGACGGAAGAAGAACATTTCATGTATGTAGAAATAAAGGAGTGTAAATATGGAGAAAGTCGGAGTATTTTGTCCGCCTCCCGCATAAAGACAACGGCGAAACTTTGGACGATTGGCCCGAGAACGCATGTCATCCGGAGGTTTGTTTTTCAGATAAAGTAGCACGCGAAGACGTAGAAGCGGAAGCAACGCGAACGAAAAAAGAGACGCAGGAATCGTTAGAGCAAAGCTTCACGCCGAGCTTGACCAGACGATTGGGCAGAACGTTGATCGAGCAAACCAGACGATCGTTGACGAGATCACCGTCCGTTTCGCGCGAAGGCCGGGCCCGTTCGGCCGAGAGAAAGATCGTTGGCGGATTCGCAGGACGTGGCGAATCTCGTGGCGCGATCCCTCGTCCCGGAAAGGTCGCTGCTGAGCAAATTTTTCAAGAGCGCCGCTGGCCGATCGGAGAACGAACCGACCAGGGACAAGGAGAAGGAAACGGACGCGGAGAAGGAGAAAGAGAAGCCGCAAAAGTCGAAGCAACGCCGGATATCGCGATTCCTACGGCCGGACTTTTTCGACACGCCCAGAGAGGAGAGTCGTTACGCGAAAGAGAAGGAAGCGCAGAAGGCGGCGGAGAACGAACGTCGCAAGTCTCGGTTCATGAAGCGGAAAAGCGAGAACAGGGACGC